CCCCTGGCCCCACCCATCCAGTCTGCCATGACCACCGCGGCCACACCCACCCGGCACCCGGTGATAAATAAGTGGGTTTTGGATTGCAGTTTGGGCACTGGGTCTCTAAAAGGTGCGCCATCACTGACCTACACCAACTCTCTAAACCAAGGATGTGAAAACCCACAATGTATGGGGCTTAATTCCTTTTCTGTGCACCTCAGAATCTTTTAGATGGGCAGAACATTTATGGACCTTGTTTGTTTGTTTGTTTAGGAAGGTGGGAAGAAAAAAATGTCTTAAGTGTTCAACCACGGTCTGGAGACTTATTTCTTAACCTTTTCTTGTTTTAAAAACACAGCAGTGCTTTTCTTTATCAGTAGAGGGAGCTATAACACTAGCTATAACACTACCCTAGTGTTCTTGCTCCCCCTACTGATGACAAAAAGAGCTGCAGTTTATTTGAGGGAAATTTTGTTGCTACCAAACCCTGTAAAAATAATAAAAACTAAAGTAAAATAAAAAAATTAAGAGGAGGGAAACATGAGAATATCCTGCTCATTTTTGCAACCCTGGACATGCTCTGCAGTGCACGGTACAATTCTTAAACCCACCTCGGATCGTGCACGCTCATGCAATAGTATTTTGAGAGGTCCTTGACGCTCTCTGAGCTTGGTAGTTTTCTTGCAGACGTTTCACTACCAAACTATGTAACATCCTCAGTGATAGTAGAGAGTGGGTTTTATTCTCAATTTGTATTCTAGTGGCTTGTTCTGTTGGTGTCAAGTGTTGGTGGGAGTGGTCTGGGTGGTCCTTTGGTTGGACTGTTTACTGTTAACTTGTTGGCAGTACCTTGACTGGGGCATTGTTTACTTGTTGATTGTTGGGCTGATGTTACTAGGTATTCTTAAAAGTAAATGCACGGGTAGCTATACTTCTCTGTGCACCAGACTCCTCCCCTAGAGAGCAACAATTGCCTTTTGCTCCTCTGCAAGGCAAATGATCAACATAAACCAAAGATAACTTCCAAGCAGCTTACAGATCACCAGTCTCAAATCAGCTTTAAAGTGCAGGAGATGGGCAGATCACTGGAAATAGCACCAACAGATTCTCATAAAGTGTTGCCAGAAAGGAAACAGTTGCATCCAGGATCCCACTTAACGCTAAGATCGGTCCCCAGACTGTATTAACGGCCTCAGTCAAGGAAGAGAATGAAGACTGAGTGACTGGGCCATTCCCAGGAGATCCATTCTTTGCTTGTAAAGAAGCTAGGAACACAGCAGGAAGCTGAGACATACGGTTGCTGCAGTGTATAAAGAGGGATTGTGATTTAAGTACAGATACTACAACATTAGCTGCATGGCCCAGGCAGAGGAGAAGTTCTTTCTGTTTCATATTTTCCAAGAGAATTTCTGTGGACAGTAACTTCTTGTCCCTAGTTATTTTTTTCACGCGTTCCAGAAACACAAAGAAGAGATAGGACAACTTTGAATTATCCCTCAGCAAGCTCTTTTTAATAGCCAGGCCTAATAGTGAACTTGCTTGGGTTATTATTTATAATTGCACAACTCCAAAAACTTCCAGTTGAAGATTTTGATTCTCAGCTGGAATTGAGTCAGTTTCAAAAACAGAGTTGGAAGGGACCTTGGAGGTCTTCTAGTCCAACCCCCTGCTCAAGCAGAAGACCCAATAGCATTTCAGACAAATGGCTGTCCAATCTCTTCTTAAAAACCTCCAGTGTTGGAGCAAGTCGTTCCACTGTCAGGAAACGTCTCCTTAGTTCTAAGCTGGTTCTCTCCCCGATTAGTTTCCACCCATTGCTTCTTGTCCTGCCTTCAGGGGCTTCTTCTTTGCGGCAGCCCCTGAGATAATGGAACACTGCTATCATGTCACATCTAGCCCTTCTTTTCATTAAGCTAGATGTACCCAATTCTTGCAACCTAGGTGTCTTCATGAGACCTAGCATGTTATAGCAAATGCTCATTAGGTAAATATGAACTAGTCACTAAATTCCACCCACCTTATTTTATTTATTTATTTATTTATGAGACTTATATACCGCTTTAAGTGCAAGCACTCTCTAAGCAGTGTACACCAGTAAGCAATGTATATATGTATATATTTACATTGCCCCCAACAATCTGGGTCCTCATACCTGTTCTAAGAATACCACGAAGAGGAAGAGAACTTTGCTTGTATATTAAACTCTTTTAAGATCTGGTGATAGTTACACATATCCTTAATAGGTAAAATAAAATGAAGAGATAGATCATTAAATAAATAAATTAGGTTGAACTGTCCTTCTGGAAGTGTATGCCACTCTGCATAAGTGAATGACTGTTCGAGAACTTTGAACGGTCATTTAATGAATGGTTGTAAGTCAAGGACTACATGTATTGGCTTATCTGGAATGGGGGCAATTAGCCTTTTAGTTTTACGCTGTGGGAAAAAGTGGTTCAAACAAGTCCAAGAGACTCCTATCTTAATGAACATAATGGTAAGGCCACACTTGGAATATTGCATCCAGTTTTGGTCACCACGATGTAAAAAAGATGTTGAGACTAGAAAGAGTGCAGAGAAGAGCAACAAAGATAATCAGGGGACTGGAGGCTAAGGAACAGTTGTTGGAATTGGATATGTCTAGTTTAATGAAGAGAAGGATGAGGGGGAAGTGATAGCAGTCTTCCAGTATCTCAGGGGCTGCCCCAAAGAAGAGGGAGTCAAGCTATTCTCCAAAGCACCTGAAGGCAGGACAAGAAGCAACGGATGGAAACTAATCAAGGAGAGAAGCAACCTAGAACTAAGGAGAAACTTCCTGACAGTTAGAACAATTAACCAGTGAAACAACCTGCCTCCAGAAGTGGTGAATGCTCCAACACTGGAAGTTTTTAAGAAGAGACTGGGCAGCCATTTGTCTGAAATGGTATAGGGTTTCCTGCCTGAGCAGGGGGTTGGACTAGATGACCTCCAAGGTCCCTTCCAACATCATCATCATCATCATTATTTCATAATAATTGGATGTCATTCATAATAGTCGATAATTGAAGCTGGGAATTTCCTTCATCAGTTTCCAAGATGTCTTGACCATAACTTGGAGTTCTGCTGTTGGGGTTCCACCACTAGGAACTGAGCCTTACTATTTGCCTGGAACCAACTCTCAATATTTATTGCTCAGGCTTGGTGTTTCTTTAAACTCTCAAGGCACAATTTAGTGGCTGCCGCACAAATGAGAGTTGGAGAGGAACCTAACGAGGAAGAGTTATCAATTATGTGCCAGATCAGCATGGTGTGCGAGGTTATTTAATTGAGATGTATGCATTCTAAATAATTTAGCCGTTCGGTATTTGCCCCCTCCGGGACCCGATTTGTCAAGAGCACAAATATGGAGACAAAACAGCAGATTGTCGGAATAATAGAATCTGTAACTCCAGTGTCAAAAGAGATTAAAGGCAGGAATGGCTGTGTCCCATTTTAGCCCAGAGGACTAATGTAGGCAGCGACCTGAATGCTGAACCCCAGTCGGACTGCCATTTTGATCGAGTGACTGTTGAGAGTGGTCCAAATGTCTTCGATAACATCCAGCTTTTATAAAGCTTCTAAGCCGCCTCAGATTCTTCTGGGAGATTTGCAGTGGAATGTACTGAGAGAAAAACCTAAACAAGGAAACAAAAAGCAACTCATGAAATTTGAAGGCTAATGGCGGATGCCACCAGGGAAAGGTGACTTCTTTGAAAAAGGACATGTCTTATTTGGGAAGACCTGGTGTCGGAGATTCACAACTGGGAGGGCTTCACAACAGAGATCAGAACTGGGAGTTGCTGTCCAAAGCCCTGGCTGAAACAGAAGTTTTTAAAACTCTTTGGAGAAGTAAAAGTGACCCAAAGCTGGAAGACTCCCTTAAATACAGGTAGTCCTCGACTTACAGCCGTTCATTTAGTGACCGTTTGAAGTTACAACAGCCGTGAAAAAAGCGACATATCATTTTTCACACTTAAGACCGTTGCAGCCTCCCCACGGTCATGTGATCAAAATTCAGACGCTTGGCAATTGACTCAAATTTATGACAATTGCAGCGTCCCGGGGTCATGCCCTCCTCACCTTTTGCGACCTCCTGACAAGCAAAGTCAGTGGGGACGCCAGATTCACTTAACAATTGTGTTACTAACTTGACAACTGCAGTGATTCACTTAACAGCTGGGGAAAGAAAGGTCGTAAAGTGGGACAAAACTCACTTAACAAATGTCCCGCTTAACCACAGAAATTTTGGGCTCAATTGATTCAAAATTACCGCCGCACTGAAAAAAAAAGCGACTGACAATCAATGCTCGACTTACGACTATTCATAATTACAATAGCACTGGAAAAAAGTGACCGACAAACAATCCTCGCACTTACAACCATGGCCACATGATCCCAATTTGGGCCTTTGGCAACCGAACTGTATTTACAATCTTTGCAGTGTCCCTGGGTCATGTCATTGCCATTTACAACCTTCCAGGACAATGTGGGAAGCTGAATTCATTTAATAAGTGCATGATTCATTTAGCAACTGCAGTGATTTGCTTAACAACCATGGCAAAAACAGTCGTAAAATCAGGTGAGATTCACTTAACAGCTGCCTTGCTTAGCCATGGAAATTTTCTCTCTGTGTCTTTCTCTGTCTTTCTCTCTGTGTATCTTTCTCTCTCTCTCTCTCTCTCTCTCTCTCTCTCTCTCTCTCTCTCTCTCTCTCTCTCTCTCTCTCTCTCTCGTTCTCTCTGTCTTTCTGTGTGTCTTTCGTCTTTCTCTGTCTTTCTGTCTTTTGTGTATGTCTTTCTGTTTTTCTCTCTGTCTCTATCTCTCTCTGTCTTTCTGTGTTTCTCTCTTTCTCTCCTCTCTCTCTCTGTCTTTCTCTGCCTCTCTCTGTGTGTCTTTCTCTCGTGTCTCTCTGTCTTTCTCTGTCACTGTTTCTCTCTCTGTCTTTTTCTCTCTGTCTCTCTTTGTCTCCTTGTCTCTGTCTCTCACTCACTCTGCTTTCCCAGGTGAAGTGGTGTTTCTGGTTCCTATGCCCGCCGATGATTCTGGATTAGGATGGCAGTCTTCACCCAGTGGAGGTAAAACCACCCCAGCTACCACGTTTACCCAACAGGACATCAACGAAGGCGTGATTTGGTATAGACACTCTGGAGCTGAGACGGAGAGCGACTCATTCCGCTTCCAGGTACATTATACCCCGTTAAGTAACAAGGGCTTTGATTTGGTCTTCTTTTATAATGCCTGGTTAGGACCACCCTTGGAATATTGCCTCCCGTTTTGGTTGCCACGATATAAAAAAAGATGTTAAGACTCTAGAGTGCAGAGAAGAGCAACAAAGATGATGAGACTGGAGGCTAAAACATACGAAGAACTACAGGTTGCAGGAATTGGGTATGTCTAGTTTAATGAAAAGAAGGGCTGGGGGTGACATGACAGCAATATTTCAATATTTGAAGGGCTACTATAAAGAAGAGGGGGTCAACCTATTTTCCGAAGTGCCTGAAAGCAGAACAAGAAGCAATGATGGAAACTAATCAAAGAGAGAAGCAACCTAAAACTAAGGAGAAACTTCCTGACAGTTAGAACAATTAATCAGTGGAACAACTTGCCTCCAGAAGTTGTGATTGCTCCAACACTGGAAGTTTTCCAGAAGAGACTGGACAGCCATTTGTCTGAAATGGTACAGGGTTTCCTGCTTGAGCAGGGGGTTGGACTAGATGACCTCCAAGGTCCTTTCCTTCTCCTGTTCTGTTATCTGCAGAACTGTTGGGATTTCTTTTCGCCCATCAGAAATGGCACAATTCCACACCTGTAGTGAGACCATGACGAGGCAGCTCTTTAGAGTGTCCTGACAGGAACCTATAAAAGTGCCAAAAGTGGGTCAATCTCCCTAAAAAATGTCTTCCTTTTTGCTTAGAAGGCTAATCTGGTTTGTACCTCCAGCATGTTGTATGTTTGCTTTACCTGTCACTCCGGGCACTGAGGAGGCAATTAAGCTAATTTCTGAGGTAATTAGCATAGATGATAAAGAGGTAATGTAGAAGAGCTGGATGTTGTGCCAGATCCTTTTAAAATTAATAGCAGCATTGTTGTGGTGCGTTTTTTTTTTTTCAGTTCACAGCACGATGGAAGGGAAGGTTGCAGTTTGAGCTTTTCTGAAGAACTACCTTGTGACTGGGGAAATAATTATGTAGTTAAATATTTGTGTGTGTATGTGTGTGTGTATGTGTATGTGTGTGTGTGTAGGGAGTTGGAGAGAAGCTGTGCATAGCTGTACAGGTAGTCCTCAACTTACAACCACAATTGAGCTCAAACGTTCTGTTGTTAAGCAAGACGGTCGTTAAGTCAGTTTTACCCCAGTTTACGACCTTTCTTGCCAGAGTTGTTAAGTGAATCACTGCAGTTGTTAAGTTAGTAACACGGTTGTTAAGTGAACCTGGCTGAACCCCGTTGACTTTGCTTGTCAGAAGGTCACAAAAGATGATCACGTGACCCTGGGACACGGCAACCATCATGAATACAGGCCAATTGCCAAGCATCCAAATTTTGATCACATGATCCACAGGGATGTTGCAGTGGCCGGAAGTTTGCAGAAATAGACATAAGCCAGTTTCTGAAATTGCTGTTATAACTTTGAACAGTCACTAAATGGACTGTTGTAAGTCGAGGACTACCTGTATGGATTTTTCAGTTCACAGCATGATGGAGGGGAAGGCTGCAGGTTGAACTATTTTGCAACTGGGGGAATAATTATATAGTTTAACTTTGTGTGTCTGTGTGTGTGTCTGTGTGTGTGTCTGTGTGTGTGTGTGTGTGTGTGTGTGTGTGTGTAGGAAGTTGGAGAGAAGCTGTGCGTAGCTGTAGTCTGTCACAAAACTATAACCCATCTGTCAGGCCGCAGATGAATAGCTAGTGACGGCTGACAAAATGCAGATGGATTATTTTGCATTAATATTCTGGGAACTGCATTTCCAGTGACCTCTTGCAAAATAAATCACCCCAAGCTCAGTCAGAGATGTGTCGTTTATTTCCCTTTCCATTGACTTTCCCCAGAGGTTCGCTTGACCAAACTCTTGACTGAGATCTATGAAACTGTATATGTTGAGATCTTTTGGGGGGGGGGGGAAATATTCCATGCTACATTGCTTCCATGTTGCATGAGAGTATAGGTCTCCAGGCTGCCATTTATTGATTTCTCTGTCTTTCCTTGGGGCAGCCCATTGGAAATCTCCTATCGATTCAGGGGTATCGGTTGCATAGCCTCTTATCAGCTGCTGGGACAGGATACATTCTGATCAGGCACAACGTTAGTTTATTTATTAGCGCAGGGTTTGTTTATTTATTCGTAATGTATTACATTAATTATAGCCGCACAGTCCAGAGGACTCTGGATGGTTAATAGGATCCATCTAAGGCAGTGGTTCTCAACCTTGACAATTTTAAGGCATGTGGACTTCAACTCCCAGAATTCCACAGCCAGCATTGCTGGCTGTGGAATTCTGGGTGTTGAAGTCCACATGCCTTAAAATTGTCAAGGTTGAGAAACACTGGTCTAAGGGGCTGCCAAAAAGAAGAGGGGGGTCAGCCTATTCTCCAGTGTACCTGAAGGCAGGACAAGAAGCAATGGATGGGAACTAAGCAAGGAGAGAACCAGCCTAGAACTAAGGAGAAAGTTCCTGACTGTTAGAACAATTAATCAGTGGAACGGCTTGCCTCCAGAAGTTGTGGGAGCTCCAGCATTGGAGGTTTTATAAGATGAGATTGGACAGCCATTTGTCTGAAATGGTATAGAACAGGGGTAGGCAACCTTGGCTCTTTTGTGACTCATGGACTTCAATTCCCAGAATTTCCGAGTCAGCCATGCTGAGGGGAAAGGGAGAGTTTCCAAGCTGAGCCAGGCTGGCTCAGGAATTCTGGGAGTTGAAGTCCACGAGTCATAAAAGAGCCAAAGTTGCCTACCCCCTGCCTTAAGTGAATCACTGCAGTGGTTAAGTTAGTTAACATGATCGTTAAGTGAATCTGGCATCCCCCATTGACTTTGCTTGACAGGAGGTCACAAAAGCGGATCACATGACCTCCGGGACACAACAACCGTCATAAATATCAGCCAGTTGCCAAGCGTCTGAATTTTGATCATGTGTCCATAGGGATCCTGTGATGGTTGTGTGAAAAAATGGTTATAAAGCCACTCTTTTCAGTGTTGTCACTTTGAACGGTCATGAAATAAATGGTTGTAAGTCGAGGAATTGAAGTCTTGGAAAGAAAACAGGAGGATGCATCTGTTGCTCAAAAGCTTGCGACTGTCCGCCTTGCTGAAAGTAGATCTTAGATCAAACATGTCAAACTCGCGACGTCGCGTAACGTCGTGCAACGTATCGGGATGGTTTTGCCATTGCCGGCAATGGGGTGGGCGCAGCTTCCGGATAACGCGTCCGGCCCGTGGGCCGGCAGTTTGACACCCCTGCCTTAGATGGTTCATAGGTTCTCCTGCTGAAAACATTTTGCTCTTAGGAAATCATGCCGCTGAGATTATTCAGAAGAGAAGCTGAGGTACAACTAGTTCTCAATTTAGGACCACAATTGGGATTGGAATTTTCATCATAAATCATTGTGCTTGTAAGTGGAATCGGACCTGATTTTTACAGTTTTTGTTCAGTGAATCCAACTTCTCCAATGGGCATTTTTTTTTTTTTTTTTGCTGGAAATTGGGAGGAAAAAGGTGTGTGACCACAGGGAGGCGGCTGCAACAGTTGTAAGTGGGAATACAGGTTGTAAATCACTTTTTCCAAAGCTATTGTAACTTCAAACAGCTGTTAAATTAAGAACTGCCTATAATCTCTCTGCTCCAGGAGTGTCATTAGTGCACTACAATCTTATCTGTCGTGATGCATAAAAGTCTCACGGCCTGTTTCCTTTGTGTAATGTCATATTTGCAGGTCTCTGGTGCAGGTTTTCCACAGACCCATCTTGAGACCCACTTGTTCAACATTGCCATTTTACCACCTAGCCTGGCGTCATCTGGGTCCTCCTCCAAATTTTCTTTTCATATGACGGTAAGTCCAGAATTACATTTCTTCAAGAATGCATCTTTCTCTCTCTCTCTCTGTCTCTCTCTCTCTCTATCTCTCTCTCTATCTATCTATCTATCTATCTCTATCTAGTAGTAGTAGTAGTAGTAAAGTTGAAAGCGACCTTGGAGGTCATCTAGTCCAACCCCCTGCTCAGGGAGAAAACCCAATACCATTTCGGACAAATGGCTGTCCAGGCTCTTCTTAAAAACTTCCAGTGTTGGCGCATTCACCACCTCTGGAGGCAGGTCGTTCCACTGGTTAATTGTTCCAACGGTCAGGAAGTTTCTCCTTAGTTCTAGGTTGCTTCTCTCTTTGATTAGTTTCCATCCATTGCTTCTTGTCCTGCCTTCAGGCACTTTGGAAAATAGCTTCAATCCCTCCTCTTTGGGGCAGCCCCTGAGATATTGGAAGACTGCTATCATGTCACCCTTCGTCCTTCTCTTCATTAAACTAGACATACCCAATTCCAGCAACCGTTCCTTATATGTTTTAGCCTCCAGTCCCCGGATCATCTTTGTTGCTCTTCTCTGTACTCTTTCTAGAGTCTCAACATCTTTTTTACATCGTGGTGACCAAAACTGGATGCAGTATTCCAAGTGTGGCCTTACTAAGGCATTGTAAAGTAGTATTAACACTTCACGTGATCTTGATTCTACACTCTGTTAATGCAGCCTAGCACTGTGTTGGCCTTTTGGCAGCTGCAGCACACTGCTGGCTCATATTTAGGTGATTGTCCAATAGGACTCCGAGGTCCTTCTCACAGTTACTACTATTGAGCAAGGTACCACCTATACTATACCTGTGCATTTGGTTTTTCTTGACTAAATATAGAACCTTGCTTGTATCTCTCTCTCTCTCTCTCTCTCTCTCTCTCTCTCTCTCTCTCTCTCTCTCTCTCTCTCGTGTTAAATCTGGATTGCTAACAAAGAGTTAAAGGGAAGCTGATATAGCTATTTCGAGCACCTTAGCTCTCATCAGCCAGCTACACCCTTCTGAGATTCGAACCTGGGCTGCTTGCACTTTAGGCAGCTGTGTTGACCTTTAAGCCACAGGCTCTTTCTCACTTTGTCAGCTGTGTCAGGGAGGGAAGAGACCTGGGAGAGGAGATATGTGTTGTTGTTTTTTTAATAAAGGTTTTTATTGAGTTTTATGAGGTTGGGGAAGGGATAGGACCAGGATAGGGGTTAAGGTTCAGGGTGGGGTTAGGATCGGGATTGGGGTTGGGACAGGATTGGGAACTGATGCACCCAGTTGGCCCAAATATGGGAAGAAGAGATTGGGGTGGATACAGGCAAAATAATAATTTTTGACACTAATACCCTTAAGCAAAATTGCATGGTGCCAAGCGCTTTAAAAAGTTGCAAATTTTTGGCCTTTCATGTAGCTTAGATTATAACCTGTATTTTTTATGGGAAACAAATGATTGCCCTGCTCTCTGGCGTTAATGATGAATGTGGGAATAGGAAAACAAAGGATAGAAGTCAACCCTTTTTTCTCCCAGTGAATGGCATTTGACTCTTGAAGGGGACTTTTGTAAGATTGCGTCATAATTTAACAAATGCAGTTTTCAGCTATAGTTTCATTCTCTGTCTTTGTCTCCTTCCCTCCCTTCTCTTTAAGAGTCTTTCTATATTCTTGCCCTCCGTGACCAACTGAAGGTCAGACAGTTTGACATTTGTTAAAAGACTTGGATGTTAGGTTTGGGTGTCTGTTGGAACAATCTATGGATTGTACTGGTTTTGATCAGCTCCATTCTTAATTTGTTCTGTGTGGCTCCTGAGCCTTTTTGGTCTTGGTGACAGAAAGGTTTGAATTAGGATCAAGGAGACCGGGGTTCAGATCCACCCTAAGCCATGAAGCTCAAAGTGACCTTGGATCTGTCTCAGCCCAACCTATTCACAAAATTGTTGCCTTGAGCTGATGGACGGATGGTTTGTTGTTATTTATTTATTTGTAAAATTTATCACCCACCCGTCTTTGTTGTTGTTGTTGTTAGTTGCGAAGTCGTGTCCAACCCATCGCGACCTCATGGACAACGTTCCTCTAGGCCTTCCTGTCCTCTACCATCTTCTGGAGTCCATTTAAGCTCATGCCTACTGCTTCAGTAACTCCATCCAGCCACCTCATTCTCTGTCGTCCCCTTCTTCTATTGCCCTCCATCTTTCCCAGCATGAGGCTCTTCTCCAGGGAGTCCTTCCTTCTCATTAGGTGGCCAAAGTACTTGAGTTTCAACTTCAGGATCTGGCCTTCTAAAGAGCAGTCGGGGTTGATCTCCTCTAGGACTGACCGGTTTGATCGCCTTGCAGTCCAGGGGACTCACAGGAGTCTTCTCCAGCACCATAGTTCAAAGGCTTCCATTCTTTGGCGCTCAGCCTTTCTTATGGTCCAACTTTCACAGCCATACATTGCAACTGGGCCACACAGTAACTTTGGGCAGCGTATCCCAAAGGTGTTTTTTCCCCTGAGGCAGCTGGACTTTCTTGGTTTTTCTTTGAAGACATTTCGCTTCTCAGTCATCCAGATCATGGTTGTCCCAAAGGTGCTTTTTCAAGAAGCAACTGGACTTCCTTCTTCACAAAATGGAATCAGTTTGTTCTCCCCATACCTACGTAGTTTAATTTAGGGCCATTGAATAGGGTCAGGGAATCCAGATTCTGAGCCCACTGGCAGAACCAGGTCTTCAACGCCTTCCGAAAGAGTGTTAGAGTGGGGGCCAGTCTAATCTCTGGGGGAATGATGTTCCAGAGAGAGAGAGAGAGCCACCACGGAGAAGGCCCTTCTTTTGGGTCCTGCCAGATGTATCTCCTTAGGGGACAGGATCTGCAACATTCCTTGCCTCCCCGCTCTAGTGGGTCGGGTAGATGTGACCGGCAAGAGACGGTCCCTGTTTTGTCCCAGTTTATGTGACTCCTTGTTAACTCACAAAGGCAAACCTCTCTTTTAACAAATAGACTGGAAATGCAGGAAAATCAAACCCCTTTTATCAATTATGTACAGACCTGCAAAATGTCCCAAAAGCAAAGGCAAACAAAACACAATTCAAACGGAGAATTGTACATAGGCAAACAGAGCACGATTCAAACGGAGAATTGTTAACAGGCAAGACAAACAGAACATGATTCCATGAAACTTGAGTCCTTTGCAAACAGTTGCCTTCAGCCCACACCTTCCCTTTTTAATATGCAGCCCCAAGGCGTGGCTTCTCAATGTCTTCTTCTTCTCCCTTGGAGTCGCCCCATTGCCCCCCTCTGTCCTGCTCTTGTTGCCTGTCTGCGTTTGCAAGCATCTATGATGTCTTCCAGCTGTGAATCCTCAGAGTCTGACTCAGCTTCCCAGCACAGCTGGGTCTCAGCCTGAGCACGATTGGAGGGGTCAGGCTCTTCATCAGATTGTAAGTCCTGGAGCTCATTAGAGATTTCCTCCGACTCTGATGGCTCTCCAGGCCCCACCTCCTCCTCCTCCTCTGATTCCCAGACTCAGCTGCAGTCCACTGGCTGGCACAGAATCACAACAGTCCCTCAGATAATCTTCCTCCCAGTTTAACCCCCCAGCCTAGCCCAATGATTGGGGAAGGGCCAGGTCTTCAGAGTCAGGATTCCTGGAGGAAAAACTGAGTATAAAGTACACATGCATTTGGTAAATATTTATTTTTCAGGCACTGGAAGATCGTGTGACACCTATTCGACCGCATCACCTCCCTTTTGTCAACTCGCAAACTCCAAGTGATGAAATCACGTACAATGTGACTGTACCCTTGCCTCCAAATCAAGGCAAGATCATTTCATATAGATAAAAAAATGTTTCTCTGTGATTGTTTTACAACTGGTAGGCTGGTAGCCAGGAGGGTCAGCTGAAGGATACAGGCTTGGCTGAAAGTATTTATAAATTAAGAAGTTCAGGGGAAACGATTGAACTTTATTTGGTGACAGCTGAAGAGTTGCAAAATGTCTCTCTCTATCTTAAATGAGAGAGACTTGGATTAAGCAAAATGGTTACCCTTCAAAACTGGGAAATAGAGTGCAAATTTGAATTCATATACAACTTTCTTGCACTTGTCAGGATAATGAATTGTGGACTCTAGGTGGTTTCTGCAGAACTATCGAATGTCCGATGCCCAATGGAAGAAAATGTCCTGGCTGGGATAATAAATCTGAACTGGGGAAGAATTGCAGGACAGAACGTTGATATCATGTTTGAAGCAAGATTTACAAGCTCCCAAGACTCCTATTTACAAGCTCCATAATAGAGATTGCAATGGCCATGAGCACTGCAAGTTTTGAGTTTTGATTAGTCCCATATAAAATCCACAGAAATCCTGACTGGTTAATCAGAAACTAGCCAGCCACATTTATCAACGAATGTTAAACAAGATGGAAGGAATGGCTGGTTGACGCGAATGCAGGTTTAAGTATGTTAAGTATGTTATGTGGACCACTCTGACATTAGGGACCAATCAGCAGCACTTTGAAAAAAGATAACTGCAGTCTTATGGAAAGTCTTATAGATTTCATGTATAATATTTGACTACTGTATTTATTTACCTAAAAATTATAGATTGTTTATAGTCTCTTCAGATTAGCTAAGAAACAGATAAATTCTCTGTCCACTGCAACAGGTATGGTGGAGCACAGGGACAAACCATCCATCCCAGTAAACTCTTTTACCCAAACTGACATCAACAATGGCAAAATTGTCTACCGTCCACCTAGTGCTGGATCACACATTAGGGAGCTGATGGAATTCTCCTTTGCTGGTAAGAATTTAATCCACTGATTAGCACTCATTCCTAGATTCCCATCCATAACTCCCTAACTTTCTATAAACCAGTGTTTCTCAGCAACTTTAAAGAGGAGTGGAGGTCAATTAGCTGGTTGGGGAATTCAACACACATCTTGAAGTTGCCGAGGTTGAGAAACACTGATCTTCTAGACCAGGGATCTTCAAACTTGGCCCTTTTATGACTTGTGGATTTCAACTCCCAGAATTCCTCAGCCAGGCACACTGGCTGAGGAATTCTGGGAGTTGAAGTCCACAAGTCATAAAAGGGCCAAGTTTGAAGACCCCTGGTCTAGACCAGAGGTCCCCAACCTTTTGGGTACCAGGGACCGGTTCTGTAAAGAGAGGTTTTTCCATAGACTGGAGAGTGCGTGGTTTTGTGTGCTGCCTGCATCCCATGGATGGGGCTTTGCTTGATTGTGCGGACCAGTTGCTGGCATGCTGCAGCCTGGTGCCGGTCCACGGAGCAGGGGTTGGGGGACCCCTGTCCTAGACAATGGTGGGAATGTTGAGCAATAGAGTTTAGCAATATTTGAAGGGTCTGAAATCCCAGCCATAAACAAAGCCAATGAACCACATGGAAGATGCTGGGTTGAATACCTACTAACAATCTGTGACATTAAATATATATATATATATATATATATATAAATATATATATATATATATATATATATATTATATATATATATATATATATATATATATATTGCCAGTAAAGTATGTTTTTCACCCTCAAAACAAAGCATAATGATGTGGGAATATGTTATGGCAGGGGTAGGCAACCTTGGCCCTTGTATGACTCGTGGACTTCAACTCCCAGAATTCCTGAGCCAGCATGGCTCAGCTTGGAAACTCCTTTTCCCCTCAGCATGGCTGGCTTAGGAATTCTGGGAGTTGAAGTCCACCAGTCATAAAAGAGCCAAGGTTGCCTACCCCTGTGTTATGGTTTTATTTTTTTCAGAGATGCTTGGTGAATGCAGAACATGATGCTTCCATTGGCCCCTCTCTTTGCTTGCAAAGTTTTTGCCCAGTCCAATATCCTGAAATTTAGGACTCCACAAAAGGAAATAACGAAGTATGGTTAAACACCAGCATCTTTGTGACATGGCAGTCCATTCCAGTTTGTTGGGTTAATTTGAATTCCGCCCGCAGTGCAGCCCCCTCATAATTTTCCCATTCTGTCTAATATATGGCCATCAGTGATTTGTGGGGCCGCGTGTGTGTTTCACAATGAAATTTTACAGCAATTATACCACTAATCATCAGATTAGTATCAGTTCATGAATTAATATGAACTCATGAAATTCTCTGGGCTCCTATCAGATTGCCTGCACCATTAGGCATTGCTTAGAAGTTGTACCTTAGTTGCAATTACGGTCCAAACAGCTGTTATTTCTACATCTGCAAAAAGAAGCAAATATACAAAGCAATCTTCCAATAGGAACTTGCAGGCCTTTATCAGGAAAAAAATGCAACCTGCTGTGTTTAGCCTCCTAGCACCCAAACACGGGGTGCATAATTTATCAAAACGAATGAGAGCTGTTCCAAAACAATCTGCCAAAAGCTGAAAGTCAGGCATTTTTCAAAATAACTCTTTTCCCCCCCCCACACACATTTTAGAGATGTATGTTGTGTCAGCCTTTGTTATAAACAGGCCTAAAGTATTCAATCAGAACAGAGTTGGAAGGGACCTTGGAGGTCTTCTAGCCCAATTTCCAGCTCAAGGTACTTAAGAACAGGATTTTTTTTTTCTTGTTAAAATTCTGGATTCTTTTTAAATAAGATCCCCAAAGATCCTGAAGCTTGGACCGGAGCTGCATTTTATCTCCTGTCTTCCCATCTTGGTTAAGGATAGTATACCAAACTAGAAGAATAGGATGGGATGGGATAGAAGGATAGGATAGGATAGGATAGGATAGGATAGGATAGGATAGGATAGGATGGAATATAGGGATAGAATAGAATACAGGAATGGAATGGAATAGAATAGAATAGAATATAGAATGAAATGGAATGGAATATAGAATAGAGGAATAGAATAGAATAGAATAGAATAGAATAGAATAGAATAGAATAGAATAGAATAGAATAGAATAGAATAGAGCTGGAAGGGGCCATGGAGGTCTTCTAGTCCAACCCCCTGCTCAGGCAGGAAACCCTTTTTACCATTTCAGACAAATGGTTGACTACAGGTAATCCTTGACTTACAACCATTTGACCATTCAAAGTTGCAACAGCACTGAAAAAAGTGACTTACAGTGGTGCTCATACTTACAACTGTTGCTGCATCTCCATCATTACATGATCATATTTTGGGCAGTTGGCCACCCGCATATAGTCACAACAGTTGCAGCGTCCCAGAGTCATGTGATCACCATTTGTGGACCCACCCAGCCATCTTCCAGCAAGCAAAGTCAATGGGGGAAGCCAAGTTTGCTTAATGACTTGCTGATGCGTTTAACAACTGCAGTGGTTTGTTTATCAATGGTGGCCCCCCAAAAAAAAAAAGGACATAAAAATTGGACGAGCTCAACAACTGCCTTGCTTAATGGTGGAAATCCTGGTCCTCATTGTGGTGGTAAGTCGAGGAACTTGTAGTCAAGTTTATTTCATCAGAAGCATCCCATAAGCCGCGTTCTCCATTTTGAGCGGTGCAAATCCTTTAAAACTCATTTTGAAAAATATTATGCCTTTTTGTGACCTTCCAAATCTGTCACCTTACTCTACCTAACGTGTCTGGGTTACTCAAGAGTTAGCATCACTGATGTAGTTCAAAAGGCCTTGAAACTCCAAAGCCAGTGCTAAAACACTCCTCTTTGTCAAAGAAAACCGTTTTGTGAAAAACTTGGTGGAAGCAAGAGAGAGAAAGGCAGAGAAGGTGTTTATTAACAGGGCAGATCGATTATCTAAAACTCTAAGGAAGAATAGAAATAGATCTTTAGGGACTTTTATCAAGGACTTTTAACCAGAAATGCAGCTAGAGAGCTTAAAATTATACAGGAAGAGATGGTTTGTTGGCCATCTCGACATTGTCCTGGTTGATTTCTGTCTTTCCAGCGAACCAGGCAGTAAACATTGAATTTGGAAGTGTGAATGGCAACACTTGTGTTCCATCACTGGACCGAGTAACATTGCTTTGTTTTGGATAGGCAGAAGAATTTCTAGTTCTACGACCTTCTCTAACTCATGGAGGCCTACCACATTTTGCTTCAACAAAAAATAAAATAAAATACCCAAATAGAAAACTATTTTTCTTGTCTCTTTTAATTTTGTCTTAATTATCCTAAAAATGGTGGTCCAACGTCTACTGAGAATGTAGTCAGTATTTCCAAACACAGTTGGACTTGTGTCTTTCCCCTTCCACAAATTCTTTGTGACATTATACCTGCAGTGGATCAATTTCGTTTGTATTGTACGATTCCAGAGGCTGCAAACAATCGTGTTTTCCTAATCTCTTTATCTCCTCTAGGTCTTCCAGAATCGATTAACTTTCATTTTACAGGTATGTGGATATTTTGTGGTATTTATACTTCATTCTATCTTGTTTTGAAGACCTTATGACCCACCCAATAAACATGAAATATAGTTTTGGAATAGGAGACTTGGTGATAGGTCAAACACTGGGGAGTCCTTGGTGCTCTCTAAGCTTGGTTATTTGCTTTCCTTTCATGACCCAGCTAGATAATATTTTATTTATTTTATTTACTTTTTATCCCACTTTTATTATTTCTATAAATCATTCAAGGCAGCCTAACATACCTAATACTCCTTCCTCCTGTTATTTTTCCCCACAAAATAAGGGAGGTGAATTGAGCTGGAAGAGAGTGACTGGCCCAAAGTTATCCAACCGGCTTTTGTGCCTAAGGCGGGACTAGAACTCACCATCTCCTGGTGATTGACTCAAAGTCACCCAGCTGCCTTTCATGCCTAAAGTAGAACTAGAATTCACCATCTCCTGGTGATTGGCCCAAAGTCACCAAGGCAGCTTTCATGCCTAAGGCGGGACTAGAACTCACCGTCTCCTGGTGATTGACTCAAAGTCACCCAGCTGCCTTTCATGCCTAAGGCAGGACTAGAACTCACCATCTCCTGGTGATTGGCCCAAAGTCACCCAGCTAGCTTTCATGCCTAAGGCGGGAGTAGAACTCACCATCTTCTGGTGATTGACTCAAAGTCACCCAGCTGCCTTTCATGCCTAGAGTGGAACTAGAACTCACCATCTCCTGGTGATTGGCCCAAAGTCACCCAGCTAGCTTTCATACCTAAGGCAGGACTAGAACTCACAATCTGCTAGTGATTACCCCACAGTCAGCCAGCCAGCTATTATGTCTAAGGCAGGACTAGAACTCACCATTTCCCGGCCTTAACCACCAATCAGTATAATGAAACATCTGCAAGCAAACAACCAAACTCAGGGAGCGCCAAGGGCTCCAAAGTTACATATATTCTCTTCTTTTAGATCAGTGTTTCTCAACCTTGACAATTTTAAGGCATGTGGACTTCAACTCCCAGAATTCCACAGCCAGCGTTGCTGGCTGTGGAATTCTGGGAGTTGAAGTCCACATGCCTTAAAATTGTCAAGGTTGAGAAACACTGTTTTAGATCAAACGCTTTCAAGCAGCTGCAAAATTATTGGTGACAACATTGGGGGATGCTGGAAAGTTTGCAAACAAACCCCATTTTTTTTTTCTTTTTTCATCTAGATTTTTTTTCTTCTTCTCAGCTTCTTAGATGCATCCATCTACGTCAGGCATGTCAAATAACTGGCCCGCAGGCCAGATGCATCCTATTGAAACCATGCCCACCCCATTGCCAGCAATGGGGAAAAAGTCGTGATACATCGCGCAACGTCGCGAGTTTGACATGTCTGATCTAAGTCAAGAGGACTATAGAAAAAAATATTGAAACTTTCACCAGTTCTGCTGATTCAAGGGAATGCTTCACCCTTCCTTGCCTGCTTCATTCCTCTAGCAGTTCTCTCAGCTTCCCCTCCCCCCGTGCTACTATTCATCTAAAGCACAAGAATTTTTTTTAAAAAAGGCTCCTTATTCTTGCCCCACTTTTGTAATGATATAAGACTGCTTTTCTAACTTGGCAAGTTTAAAATGCGTGGACTTCAGCTCCCAGAATTCCCTAGCCAGCACTGTGGCTGAAGAATTCTGGAAGTTGAAGTCCACACATCTTAAACTTGCCAACTTGGAAAAACTCTGATATAAAGGGTTTTTCCCCTTTTCTTCTCTTCTAGATGCATTACATCATAGATAAAGTCTAAGCACCATATTTTCACCTGGTTTTGCTTATTGCCTCACCTGTTGAGTAGCAAAGCTGATTCTGGACTTCGATCTGCCACCACCACAATGCATAAATAATTTTATCACAGGCAGTTTCTGTGTGGCAGAGATGGGAATGGCAAATGCTGGATATGGAATGAGTTAAAATATAATAGAACTTTTTAAAACAATAATGCTGTTGTTGGGAAGGAAGACTGAAAGACAGAGTCATATTTTAGGAGCATGTGGACCCTTTCATTGACCCCATTTCCACAACATGCTTACCTTGTTTAAGGGAGGAAAATTAGTGTATTGTGGGAACCCTCTAACCTAAGTCAGCGGAGCCTGGAAATGTTGCTGTGAGTGTTTTGCCAGGAGCACCTTTAACGTTATTGGATGTAATGGAATGTGAGAATGGAAGTAGGAGGTGCTACCTAGAGAATGATCAGATAAATAGAGAAGGAGCTTGGAACTGAATAAGAGGCAGAGAAAGCAACTTAGAAAAGATCCATCCTAACTTATCAGTAGGTAAAAAGTAACGGTGGGAGATTTGTACTTTCAGACTTGGAAGATTCTATTAATAAAGTAGAATCAGTTCATCTTATTATGTCTCCTGTCTGGTCTACCTGGGAAGGCTTGAAACTTGAGGCTTTACGAGTCAAGCCCAACCTTTTAGAGTTCACATCCGATCTTTCACATCCAGGGAGTGGATTTTAAGGAGTAATTTTAAGCCTGATTCTTTTATGCAACATATTCACTCCAGCAATTCCTTTTAGTGTCCGATGGAGAACATATAAGTCCTGAGATGGTGTTTACCATCCACTTGCTTTCCACTGATGAAGAGCCTCCATTGTTCCAGATTACTGCTCCGGTGCTTGAGGTCAGCCAAGGAGGCAGAGCTGCTATTGGTAAGGAGAAAAGACTGGTTCATCAGGGGGCTTCAGGTACACACTAGGCTACATTGATAATTCATAGCAGTAGCAATTCAATTAGGGGACTGCCCATAAATTACCTGGCACCAGCCCAGGAACCAAATGTTCAGTAGAGGAATTAAACATCGATAAAAGGGTCTGGGAACGCACTTTGCTGTGGAGATCAGTGAAGAAAGGAAGACATAAAACATAATTGAAGAAATTCATCTGGAAACATAATCGTGAATAGGATCCTTCTGAGTTTGAATACTTTTGTGGGAATCTTAATGGGTGATCTGGCCCTTACCTACAGTAGCTTTTGCTTCAAAAGGTGAGCAAGGTAATATTTAAACAGAAATATATCAACCAATGCAACCCTGTTCCGTTTCCCAAAGGGAATATTCGACCTATGGTTCCAATTTCCATTGTGTGTATAGTGCGGGGGTGGGCAACCTTGGTTCTTTTATGACTCGTGGACTTCAACTCCCAGAATTCCCGAGCCAGCCATGCTGAGGGGAAAGGGAGAGGTTTCCATGCTGAGCCAGGCTGGCTCAGGAATTCTAGGAATTGAAGACCACAAGTCATAAAAGAGCCAAGGTTACCTATCTCTGGCCTAGGCCTAGGCTACTTTATGACTTGTGGACTTCAACTCCCAGAATTCCTGAGTCAGCATGGCTCAGCTTGGAACCTTTCCCTTTCCCCTCAGCATGGCTGGCTCAGGAATTCTGGGAGTTGAAGTCCATGAGTCATAAAAGAGCCAAGGTTGCCTACCCCTGGTATAGTGATTTTGTAGAGTGGCGTTCATCAGGAAATCTGCTCTTCTACCAGTAATCCTCAACTTAACAGCCGTAATGGTACCTACCCATAACAATCTTAAGCCAGAATGGCTTAAGTGGGTCACTGCCATGAACGACCCGATTTTACATTTATTTCTTTTTTAAAATGGTTTTTAAGCAAATATTGCGGGTACTAAACGAACCCATTATTTGCTAAAACCCAGAAATGCCGGTTGTAAAAAAATGTGGTCAGATAACGGTGGGAAGTTGCAAACAGCCGTAAATGTGGACTGGCTGCCAAGCACCCAAAATGTAATCACATGGTCACAGGGGTTGTGTAGGCGGTTGTCGGATTTTGCAGCCAGGTTGTAAGTACCTTTTAGGGGGAATCTATCATAATTTCAAAACAGTCGCTAAGCGAGCGGTCGTAAGTTGAGGACCTATCTGTACTGTTGCTGAAGAGCACACACCAGGGCATTTTGATCAGTGTTAGGATCCAAGTACAGGTAGTCCTCAACATATGACCACAATTGAGCCCAAAATTTCTGCTGTTAAGTGAGACATTTGTTAAGTGAGTTTGGCCCCATTTTATGATTTGTCTCGCCATAGCTGTTAAGTGATTCATTGCAGTTGATAAGTGGGTAACCTGGTTGTTAAATGAACCTGGCTTCCCCAGACTGGACAGCCATTGGTCTGAAATGATACAGGGTTTCCTGCCTGAGCTGGGGGTTGGACTAAATCAGTGATGCCGAACCTTTTAGAGACCGAGTGCCCAAACTTCAACCCCAAACCCACTTACGTATTGCTGGGTGCCGGGTGAGCGTGGCCGCCAGGTGGGTGTGCCCTGTCAGGTGGGCGTGGCTACAGTGGGCATGGCAAGCTCGATGTTGTTCCTGGGGAGGGATGCCTGTGGGGGCCGGGCAGGGTTGGGGGAGATCCAGGGGTCTCTGGCGGGTGGGGCAGTGGACAGGAAGCTGGTTCTGCAGGGTGAGGCAAGGCACGGTGGGGGTGCCATGTCACAGGACAAGGCAAGGTAGGGGCCGGGGTGGCTGCTGCCTGACACCATCGGCCCTGCACACAAAGGCCAGCAAGCGCATGGGTGCTGGGATGTATCCGGCCACGTGGGACCTCGGCAAGTTAGCGGGCGGCTGAGAGAGAGGGCTCCGAGTGCCGCCTCTGGCACGCGTGCCATAGGTTCGCCATCACTGGACTAGATGACCTCCAAGGTCCCTTCCAACTTTATTATGATTATTATTATTGATCATTGCACAGTCAGCCAGATGTTCAGACTGAATTTGGCATTTTTGTCTACCTATCGAGTCCTTACCAAGGACCTGGGATAGGCAGATGTGGTTGTTTGATGGTATTACCGATATCGTCGCAGGATGGAAGCAGTTCCTAATAAGGCCGCCTTTTGCAATTGACTAATGGCGAATTTGTCAATGCCAGTGGTGTTCAAATGGTGCTCCAGTTGTTTTGGGATTGCACCCAAGGTGCCTATTATTATTGGTACATTATTATTATTATTATCATTCATCGCACAGTCAGCCAGATGTTCAGACTGGATTTGGCATTTTGTCTACCTATCGAGTCCTTACCCAGGACCTGGGATAGGCAGATGTGGATGTTTGATGGTATTACAGGTATCGTCGCAGGATGGAAGCAGTTCCTAGTAAGGCCGCCTTTTGCAATTGACTAATAGCGAATTTGTCAATGCCAATGGTGTTCAAGTGGTGCTCCAGTTGTTTTGGGATTGCACCCAAGGAGCCTATGACTATTGGTACTACCCTTGCTTGCTTTTGCCACAGTCTTTCTATTTCTATTTGTAGGTCTTTGTATTTTGTTATCTTCTCCAGTTCTTTCTCTTCTATTCTGCTGTCTCCAGGCACTGCCACGTCCACTATCCAGACTTTTTTGTCTTTCTTATCGACAATTGTTAAGTCTGGGGTGTTATGTTGCAGGTGCTTGTCTGTTTGAATTCTGAAGTCCCAGAGCAGTTTAATTTTATCATTTTCTATGACTTTCTCTATTTTATGATCCCACCAGTTTTTGCTTACAGGCAAATGATATTTTTTGCAGATCTTCCAATGCACCATTGTTGCTACTTTGTCATGCCGCTGCTTGTAATCAGTCTGTGCAATCTTCTTGCAACAGCTTACCAAGTGGTCCACTGTTGTTGTTGTTGTTGTTGTTATTATTATTATTATTATTATTATTATTATTATTATTATTATCTTTTATTCATTAAACATGAACCTCAGTCAACTGAACATTCAAATTATTATAATAATTATTAAATAATAATAATAATAATAATTGACTGCTTGTGAGAAGGTCACAAAAGAGGATTGCATGACAATGGGACAGAGCAACGGTCATAAATATGAACCTGTTGCAAGCCTTGAATTTTGATCACATGATCACAGGGAGCCTGTAAAGGTCATTCAGGGTGAAAAACGGTCGTGGCTCACATTTTTCAGTGCTGTTGTAACTTTGAACGGTCACTAAATGAACATAACCTCATTCTAATGCCTCAACACCCGAAGCGCCACTGACTCCCTTTCCTGTGCTGCCACCTGCTTATAAACTGCAGTCCACTTGGAGATTAGAGGTGAAACATCTAAATATATTTTCTTTCTTCCCTTCTGTATTTGGATGCTTTAAGGAATCAAGCTGACGTTGAGTGATGCGCCCGTTGCCGCTGAGGATCTCTTCTTTGAAGTGGTGCAACCTCCTCACCATGGAGTTCTACTCAAACACAGCTCCGGATTCCCAGTCCACATGACCACCGGTACGCTTGGGGGTGGAGGGGAAGTTTCTCGTCCCGTTGTTTTGTCTGTGATCTTTCACATTACGAAGAAGAAGCAAGCATCCACTAAAAGGCGAAATGAATGCTTGCAGGTAGTCCTTACTTAATGACCATGATTACTAAGCATCGCCTTACCGCAGGGGTCTTCAAACCTGGCCCTTTTATGACTTGTGGACTTCAACTCCCAGAATTCCTCAGCCAGGCACCCTGTGAGGTCGATTGGGCTGAGAGAGAGTGACAAACCCAACGTAACCCAGCCAGCTTTCATGCTTGAGGTGGGACTAGAACTCACAGTCTCCTGGTGATTGCCCCCAAATCAACCAGCCGGTTTTCATGGTTAAGGCGGGACTAGAACTCACAGTCTCCTGGTGATTGCCCCAAAATCAACCAGCCGGTTTTCATGGTTAAGGCGGGACTAGAACTCACAATCTCTTGTTGATTGCCCCAAAATCAACCATCCGGTTTTCATGGTTAAGGCGAGACTAGAACTCACAATCTCCTGGTGATTGCCCCAAAACCAACCAGCCGGTTTTCATGGTTAAGGCGGGACTAGAACTCACAATCTCCTGGTGATTGCCCCAAAATCAACCAGCCGGTTTTCATGGTTAAGGCGGGACTAGAACTCACAATCTCTTGTTGATTGCCCCAAAATCAACCATCCAGTTTTCATGGTTAAGGCGAGACTAGAACTCACAATCTCCTGGTGATTGCCCCAAAACCAACCAGCCGGTTTTCATGGTTAAGGCGAGACTAGAACTCACAGTCTCCTGGTGATTGCCCCCAAATCAACCAGCCAGTTTTCATGGTTAAGGTGGGACTAGAACTCGCAGTCTCCTGGTGATTGCTCCAAAATCAACCAGCTGGTTTTCATGGTTAAGGCGAGACTAGAACTCACAGTCTCCTGGTGATTGCCCCCAAATCAACCAACCGGTTTTCATGGTTAAGGTGGGACTAGAGCTCACAGTCTCCTGGTGATTGCCCCCAAATCAACCAGCCGGTTTTCATGGTTAAGGCGGGACTAGAACTCACAGTCTCCTGGTGATTGCCCCCAAATCAACCAGCCGGTTTTCATGGTTAAGGCGGGACTAGAACTCACAGTCTCCTGGTGATTGCCCAAAAATCAATCAGCTGGCTTTCACGCTTAAGGCGGGACTAGAATTCACTGTCTCCTGGTTTTTAGCCTGATGTATTCACCACTAGACTAAACTGGCTCTGTATGAATATGATGGATATTCTGAAACTCATATCTGGTCAGTTCCATGAATGAAGTGAAACTCTTCTCCATTGTTAACCATTAAAACAGAATTTCTGAACTACCAAGGAAAACCTTTTCTTGTCCATAAATTCATTCCAGCCTGGAATGAAATTGGTGCTTCCTCATTTCATTCAGGGTCACTATAAAGAGTACTGTTCCTTGGACCGAGGCACATTTCTATATTTACTTAGGGGGATTTATCTTAATGTTATGTGAAGGAGAAAATTCTGATTTTAGCCTTTCTCTCTGGGAAGGCGACAGTTTCACCTATGAGGAAGTCACCAGGAACTACTTGCATTATCTCCATGATGGCTCATCCTCAGAAGAAGACAGCGTGGAAATTTCAGTGACCGATGGCACCACCAAAGACCTCATTTTGCTCAAGGTGGAAGTAACCCCAGTCAACATCGATGGGCCAAGGCTGGATCCGAGCTGCTCGCTGAGTATCACTGTGGCTAGCAAAAGCTCTGCAATCATCACTCGATCCCACTTTGCTTATATTGTAAGCATCTGATCTAGTTTTTGTTTGTTTGTTTGATATCTCAGCTTTAATCTGTATCTTAGTATATTAATATATTTGGTGGGCTCAAAGCAGTCATAGAGTTAAAGAGATAGAAAACATAGGGTTGCTCATTTAGACAGGAGGAAAGGGGAGGAACCAAAGAAAACCACCTGGTTTGGTCTTGGGTTTTGTGCAAACTTCAGTTTTGAGTGGTCAGGTCAAAACTTGGCAACTGAAGATCCAAGGGAATCCTAAATTCAGAGCATTTTAATAAATAATAATAATAATAATAATAATAATAATAATAATAATAATAATAATAATAATAATAATAATGTTGGAAGGGACCTTGGAGGTCATCGAGTCCAACCCCCTGCTCAGGCAGGAAACCCTACACCATTTCGGACAGATGGCTGTCCAGTCTCTTCTTTAAAACTTCCAGTGTTGGAGCATTTACTGCTTCTGGAGGCAGGTTGTTCCATTGGTTAATTGTTCTAACTGTCAGGAAGTTTCTCCTTAGTTCTAGGTTGCTTCTCTCCTTGATTAGTTTCCATCCGTTGCTTCTTGTCCTGCCTTCAGGTGCTTTGGAGAATAGCTTCACTCCCTCTTCTTTGTGGCAGCCCCTGAGATATTAGAACACTGCTATCATGTCCCCCCTTGTCCTTCTCTTCATTAAACTAGACATATCCAATTCCAGCAACTGTTCCTCATATGTTTTAGCCTCCAGTCCCCTGATCATCTTTGTTGCTCTTCTCTGTACTCTTTCTAGAGTCTCAACATCTTTTTTACATCGTGGTGACCAAAACTGGATGCAGTATTTCAAGTGTGGCCTTACCAAGGCATTGTAGAGTGGTATTAATACTTCATGTGATCTTGATTCTATCCTTCTGTTAAGGCAGCCTAGCACTATGTTGGCTTTTTTGGCAGCTGCAGCACACGGCTGGCTCATATTTAAGTGATTGTCCACTAGGACTCCGAGGTCCCTCTCACAGTTAACTACTATTGAGCAAGGTACCCCCTATACTATACCTGTATGTTTGGTTTTTCTTGCCTAAATGTAGAACCTTACTTTCTTCACCTGAAACTGACATTTTTGTTTTTGAATTATAAAGTTCAGAGCAGCTTCGAAAATGACATTTTTCAATGTCCCTGACAAATAACAAGGGCCGCTAGTATTCATATGGCTGAAAACAACCTCTTTGTGATTCTGGACGACTCAGGTGTAAGACAACCCATGTCCTGCAAAGTTCTGGGGTCAAAAATTCTTTTGTTATAAGGACTTCTCATGACTTTGTGCTTTCATCAAAAAAGCAGAGTTGGAAGGGACCTGGAGGCTAAACTACACTTTAGCTACAATAGAAATAACTGCAGTATCTCGATACAGAGGCTCTCTAGAGTAGATTGTACATAACCTTTTATGGATAACCAACTGCTCGTGAAAGCATTTCCTTGCTCGAATGCATCTACTATTAATCAAGTTTTCTTACGTTGAGATCTGAGATTGTGTGCTAGGATACTAAGATAAAGCAAATTGGCTAATATATATTTCAGTATAATTAGCTAAAAGTTCAACTACTTGCAAACTTGGCCAATTCGATTAATTCAGTAAAACGTGATTTATTTGTGATGGGCTGATACCCATTTTAGCTTTTCCTGGTTATTTTCGCTCCTTGATTCTAATCCTGCTCTTTCACATTTTTGCTTTCTAAAACACTCCACAAGTCTGAAAAATACCACAGTGGAATTGGGTATGTCTAGTTTAATGAAGAGAAGGACGAGGGGGGACATGTTAGCAGTGTTCCAATATCTCAGGGGCTGCCCCAAAGAAGAGGGAGTCAATCTACAGGTGGTCCTTGACTTAGGAGCCCCAGATTTTTATTGCTAAGCGAGACAGTTCTTAAGTGAATCTGGCTTCCGTATTGACTTCGTTTGTGAGAAGGGTTGCAAAAGATGATCCCAGGATATTGCAACTATCATAAATATGATTCAGTTGCCAAGTGGTCTGAATTTTGATCACATGACCATGGGGATGCTGCAGTGGTCGTAAGCGTGAAAAATGTTAGTGCTGTTGTAACTTCAAATGTTCACTAAACGATCTGTTATAAGTCAAGGACTACCTGTACATGCTCAACATACTAAATTATTTTGGTTCCTGAATCGTTTTTTTTACCTTGCTTGATCTTACATAGCTAAGCACCCAGCATTCACTGTCCTTAACAGAAGTAGATACATTAGTAGCCAAAATTGTGGAAACCTTTTGGGAAAAGTGTATTTTTGAGATTTGATGACTAATAACACCACTTTTTTGGGGAGTAGTACCATAAAACTATATATCAATGGAAAGATAGTTTAATCAAGAATGTAATGCAACAAAGTTTGTTCAATTATCTGTACTGTATTCTATGAAAAGTTATAGCCAAATAACCAGAATAAGGAAGCACAACTTGCTTAGGTTGATATCAGGCAGCTTTCCTTCATCTGATGGTAGCCAATGAGCGTGAGTGTTTAGAAAGCCAATCAGGTGTCATCTTGTTTTGGCAATGAGCCAATCAGATCGCAGTAGGGTTCAGTTATTGACCTCATGTATTGAAGCTGAGAGGAGGACATTGGTCAGTGTGTTATGTGATCGCTATCAACTTGGTTGGGTTTTTGGGTGTTCTTTCATTTAGTGAGCTTGTAAAACGTAATAAAATTAAAGTAATGGTGCAAAGAGTTGACTGGTTGCCCAGAAAGCGATGCAAAATAGTATTGTTAAATGAACAAGGCTACAGTTGTAAAGAAATTAGAAAAAAAAATGGTGGAAATTTAACCAAAGGTGGCATTTCTACTGTACACTTTCCCCAAAAGGTTTCCACAATTTTGGCCACTACTGTAAATGCACCTAATACAGGATCAAGCAATAATTTCCCAGTACTATTTTTCTATTAAGATAGCACAGGATTCTACTCACTTTCTATGGACCACATAATACTGCTGACTCACCTTTATCTTTCCTTAACATTATATTTAAAATGAGGATAATAAAATCTCAGGAATAAATTTCTGGGTCTGAGTGTGATGGATGGAGCCTGGAGGAAGACTGGACGAATTGTTCATTTTTTAAAATTTATATTAATCATCAAATATCAATCATTATCAAAGAGTGCTTGACCACAGAACCCACTATAGCACAACCAACCCAGCTATGAAAAAGAAGATATCATACATCAAAAATATCTCTGAAACAAGCAACAGACTATTTGAATCACACAACATCACTGTAGCACACAAACCAAAATATTTTAAGTTAACCAAAAGACCTAGTAGCTCAAGAAAAAAAACCCAGGAGTTATCTAGAACATATTATATAAAGACAGTAACAACCACTATGTAGGATAGGCAGGCAGGAGACTAATAGAACAGAATAGCAGAATTGGAAAGAACCTTGTAGGTCATGTAAACCAACCCTTTGCTCGGTTTTGTGCCTTTCTCCTTGCTGATCATGGCTTGGTGGGGATAATAATAATGATGATGATGATGATGTTGGAAGGGACCTTGGAGGTCATCTAGTCCAACCCCCTGCTCAGGCAGGAAACCCTATACCATTTCAGATAAATGGCTATCCAGTCTCTTCTTAAAAACTTCCAGTGTTGGAGCATTCACTGCTTCTGGAGGCACGTTGTTCCACTGGTTAATTGTTCTAACTGTCAGGAGGTTTCTCCTTAGTTCCAGGTGGCTTCTCTCCTTGATCAGTTTCCATCCGTTGCTTCTTGTCCTGCCTTCAGGCGTTTGGAAAATAGTTAGTTATCATTTAGTCCAGGGATCCCCAACCCCTGGTCCGTGGACCAGTATCGGGCCGCGGCATGCCAGCAACCCACAAACAAGCAAAGCTTGGGGGGAAGGTAACAGCATTCCATGTGCCTTTGATGTCTTTGGACAACACTGGCTCCCTCAGCTAAGAAACGGAGAGGAGCAGCGCCCCCTAGAGTCTGACACGACTGGAGAGGGGGAATCTTTACCTTTAGTCCAGTGGTTCTCAACCTTTTTAATGCCGCGACCCCCAACCGGTCGTAAGTCGAGGACTACTCAACCGGTCGTAAGTCGAGGACTACTCAACTGGTCATAAGTCGAGGACTACTCAACTGGTGCAGCCCCGTTTGCAGAATGGGACTTTTGGCGGGCTCAGCAGGGCAGAGACAGCCTGGACAACTCCTATTGGCTTTTGAAAGCCAATAAAATTAGACTCTATTCAAGAGAGTCTATTCTATTGGCTTTCGAACGCCAATAGAATAAGAGGGAGTAGCACAGCTAAGGAAAAGGGGGAAAAAATGGTGGACTGCGTTGTTTGGCGACTCCCGTGAAATGGCCGTTCGACCCCAAATGGGGTCCCGACCCACAGGTGGAGAACCATTGCTTTAGTCCTAGTGATCAATGAGTTTCAGTGCTCTAGAGATGAGGGTTGCGATTGTGTCTCATCAAACTCAGGGAGCACGAGATGGGTCACCTCCCAAGAGCATCTCTTAGCCTGCTGTGAGTTGGAATTGTTCTAGCTTTCTTTTTTTACTTACACCCAGACAAAGGAAACATGGCCTGTGGCTCTAGCAGGAAGTCAAAGGCAACATCCTTCCTGCTGCTTGAAACAACACGCCTTATTCTGACTTTCATGCAGGTGGGGACTTGGCTTGTTCTTTCTGGCATTTCACAGAGCCCGCTAAGACAGTCTGGGCACGTAGGCCGATCTCTGTTTGCATTTTTATGATGCACAGACAACAGCTGATCCTGGGCCAGGAAAGCCATCCTTTCGCAGAGAAGACAAGGCTGGAATGTAAAAGGCTCACACACACCCCCTTGAATATTCCGGATTGACAAAGATTTTAACCTGTTCTCCTACCTAAATCTTGAAAGAAAAGAAAGAAAGAAAGAAAGAAAGAAAGAAAGAAAGAAAGAAAGAAAGAAAGAAAGAAAGAAAGAAAGAAAGAAAGAAAAGAAAGAAAGGAAAAAGAAAGAAAGGGAGAAAGAGG